CTCCCCACCTCAATAGGGCCTGATGTTATTCCTCGTTGACTCGGATCGCCGGCTTGAATTGTCCGCCAATCACAGCACAAAGTGGGAGGAGCTACACGGGTCATTGATTTCACCGGCCTCCCCTGAACGACTGTCACCGGAGAAAAGTGGGCGGGGCCTTTCTCACACCAGACCCGCTACAACAACGGGAACGAATTGAACAAGAAAACAGCCCGAGTTTATTTACACAAAAGCTCAAGGTTTGCTGAAACCCTTGTCGTGGTCTCGATATTCGTTTGAATGCTGTGGTAACGTCAATACCTCTCTTGTCACTCAAAGTTTATTTCACAGCACACAAGTCGGGGCATTCATTCTTCCATTCATTCAGTCCTCATCCTGAGATCAGACAACAGACGTTCAAACTACAGCAGCAAAGTTTCATGAAGGTATTTCTCTTGTCATTCGGGGCCTGGCTTTTCTTTTGTTGTTGGTATTGTCGTCGCTCGACCCGCGACCAAGTGCACTGAAAATGTCCCCGTTCCGACAATGAGTCGCGCTGTTAACCCTAACGCTTGCATAATTTGGAGGCACGTACGCTTCCTTCACTGTTCTCTACTGAGCCGTGCAATGAGCTTTGAGGACTCCAGGCATTAACTTACTGACTCGCGGAAGCCAGAAGAAAGGGAAGGAGAGATAGATAGAAAGAGGGAATGAACGAGAGAAAGGGAGAGAGAGAGAGAGAAGGAACGGGTGGTCGTGAGGAACTGAGGTGGCTTAACTTTACGAGACCATCGTTGTAACGCCCTGAATCCTGTCGTAAGTATTAATAACTTTAGTATGCATATCATTATGTTAATCTTTCACCTTTCTGAGACTTTTCAATTCTTTTTGCAACAGTTTCAGTTTCAGTTCGGAAAATCTATCCATTTTGTAATATTTCATTGAAGTGATAATAAAACGTAAAAATTCAGTATACGCTATTTTTGTCAAAGGCGAGCTCTTATTGTAATACAAGATAATTCAAAAGAGAACGATTAATACAAAACAGGTTAATTTGTCTTGACACGGTGAATTTCCAAAATTTCGGTTCGTTTCTGGGTTCTTTTTTGTTGTTGTTGTTGTTGTTTTTTGGGGGGTTCTATTGCATGCTCCATTGCTTTAATAATATGGCGTTGAATTATGACAAATTGCCAAGTAATGGCGACAACGCTACACAGTCTGATCTCGATGGTAATAAATCATTTCGTTCTGCAGGCATGCAGCTTTTCCACCACTCTAGCTGACAGGTGGATAGTAAGCTTACAAAACAACTTTAGATCACTCTAGCTGACAGGTGGATAGTAAGCTTACAAAACAACTTTAGATCACTCTAGCTGACAGGTGGATAGTAAGCTTACAAAACAACTTTAGATCACTCTAGCTGACAGGTGGATAGTAAGCTTACAAAACAACTTTAGAAAAACAGCCTAGTAAATCAAGGACTGCAGTTATTGAAAGGTCAAAGTCTGGGTTTGATTGAGTAAACAGACTCGCATCGACACAATAACAATCATAATTTAAATTTTATAGCTGGGGAAAAGTAAGACTGGCAAAGAAAGAAAGAAAGAAAGAAAGAAAAAAAGAAAGAAAGAAAGAAAGAAAGAAAGAAAGAAAGAAAGAAAGAAAGAAAGAAAGAGAATAAAATAAAACAGAATCTTAAAGAATCAGTACCATCCCAAAATATAGAGTTGGCGTATCAAGTGTGTACTTTCTTAAAAGAAAAAAAAAGGGAGCTCTTATTGTAATACAACCTAATGAATTTGAAAGAGAAAGATTAATACAAAACAGGTTAATATGAATGAAATAAAAGTACATGTACGACTAGAATATTATCCACCGCAGGTTAACCAGTATTACTTCATTTCCAAACTCGTTATAGATAAAAGGTGAACGTTTAACACTTCCATTGGATTTATTAGAATGTGAATACAATCTCGAAAATGAATCTCTTTGTTCAATTTTACCCAGTGTCCTAATCAAAGAATAGATTTTTTTTTAAAGATAAATTGAAATCCAAACAGTAATAGATATAACTTTCTCATAATAGAAGTAAATATTTAGCATTTAGTCTTGAGAGATTTAAAAATGAAAGGCCTTCGACTCGTTCAGATAAAAGTAGAAAAAGTAGACAACTTTAAAGGAATCTTGTGAAAGTTCTCCAAAAGATAAAATATTATTATATTTTCAAACAGTTGTTTGTTTTTTTTTTGTTGTTTTTTTTTTTGGGGGGGGGGGGGGTTTAAAGCAATAACAACAATTGCAACTTTCCTTCCTCTCTGCAGATGAAAAAGGTACAATAATATATTTAAAAGATAAAATGCACCCCCCCCCCCCAAAAAAAAAAAAAAAAAAAAAAAAAACTGCAAACAGAGATAGGTAAACTAAAGGGGAATGAAATAACAAACACAAACTCCTTAATTGTTAGCTACCTATTTTGCAAATCTAAAACGCAAGGCAGAGCGCCATTCCTTTCCGCAGTTTGGGAAAGAAAGAAAGAAAAGACAAAGGAAAGAATGAAAGCATAATGTACGATGAAAGGAAAAAGGGCAGAATTAGCTCGTAATTACTGCGTGCTCTATTGACTAAAACAATGCAGTCAAACGTTTGCAAACGGATTCGGTTTGAATTTTTTAACGAAAGGGTCAGAAATTACACAGAGAACAAACATAAAAACATTGGATAAGAATATTTGTTGTAGGCAGTGATAATGACTATGATAATAACAATGATGATGATAATGATAATGAAAATGATAATGATAATGTGATTATAAATAAAATAATTAGTATAACAAAAGCAATTAAAATATTTATCAATATTTTTGTTATTTCTGTTATTATTTTTATTGATACTATTGTTATTTTGTCATTATCATTATATTATCGTTATCCTTATCATTATCATTATCATCATCAAATCACTATTATTATTATTATTAGTAGTAGCAGTAGAAGTAATAGTAGTAGTAGTAGTAGTAGTAGTAGTAGTAGTAGTAGTAGTAGTAGTAGTAGTAGTAGTAGTAGTAGTAGTAGTAGTAGTAGTAGTAGTAGTAGTAGTAGTAGTAGTAGTAGTAGTAGTAGTAGTAGTAGTAGTAGTATTCTTCTTCTTCTTCTTCTTCTTCTTCTTATTATTATTATTATTATTATTATTATTATTATTATTATTATTATTATTATTATTATTATTATTATTATTATTGTAGTTTTTATTATTATTATTTAAACAAAAGGATTTTACATAGACAACAAACATAAAAGCATAGGAAAAGAAAAGATGCCGGCAGTGATAATGACAATGATAATAACAATGATAATGATAATGGAAAATGACAATGATAATGATAATGTGATTATAAGTAAAATAATTAGTATCACGAATATAATTATCACATTTATTAATATTATTGTTATTTCTGTTATTATTTTTATTGATACTATTATCCTTTTTTCATTATCAGTATATTAACGTTATCATTATCATTATCATTATCATTATCATTATCATTATTATTATCATTATTATTATCATTATCATTATCATCATCAAGTTCCTATTATTATTATTGTTATTGTTATTATTATTATTATTATTAGTATTATTATTATTATTATTACTATTATTATTATTATTATTATTATTATTATTATTATTATTATTATTATTATTATTATTATTATTATATTATATATTATATGTTATTATTTTTGTTTATTATTATTAAAACTATTATTTAATCAGTAGCAATGTTACGATTTTCGTCATTTCTACGGTAGATTTTTAGAGTTCTAATTAGGATAAAAACAAACTGGATTTTTTTATTTGTTTATTTATTCATTTATTTATTGTTGTTAGGAAACATTATCAATTTTTTATTTTTTAACTTTTTTTAGTTTGTCCACCTTTTTGAAAATTCCGTTTTAGAAGATCTTACTAATTTAAAAATACTTGCCCACATTGGGCTTACAGTATTCACTTTACCAACAAATAAATAAAACAAAAACAAAATATGAATAATATGAATAAAATTATAATTAGATTAATTTAAAAAATATAAATAAGTCTTTGAGATGAAACAAACAAGTATCAAAAACAAACTTTTCGTAAGTTATATTTTCATTATTTGAAAAATAAATAAATGAATAAGACTAAGGAAAAAAATATAGTTAAAGTATTAAAACATTAGCGATTTTTATTTTATTTTTTTTAATAATTGAAATTATATTTACTGAATAACAATAATAATATGAATTAACCATAATAAATTTTTGCCAAAATACACGTACCTGCTTGGCTTAAGAGGGAATAAGAATTATGCATAGCTAACCTAACAATAGTACCCTCTCAACACACCACATCTCCCTCTCTCGATCCACCGACATAATGTGTTGTAGTGGTTGGTTAGGCACTTCGCTGTCACTCACAGGAAACCTGAGTTTGATTTTCAAGAGGGGAGAACATTTTTATCGGGTATCTCGGTCTATCTGCTGGGATTTGCATCCCTCTCTGCCAGGGTTGGCCGTGACAAACAGGATCGGAAGCCCGTCTCCTGAATAATCTAAATAAATATGTCCATTGTGTGTTGAGTGTGTGATTTTGTTTTAGGTGTGTGTCGGGGGGGGGGGGGGGGGATCCCACTGCATTCAAATGATAAAAAAATCCCTGTCTCAAACATTTACTTCCTCCTGAAGGAGGTTATAAATAGAATTATTCTTAAGTCTTTGTTCCTTCCTCGCTTCTAACACAAACGTGCAACAATGGTAGCTTGATGTACACGCTTATGTATTGATTTTATAATATGAGAGTGAATGTTTCAATTACTAAAGCCAAAAATTCCAACTAAAGGATTTATACACAATCGTACCGTATATTTTTTCCTTCTTTGGGACAGAAATTTTACCTTTAAAAAATGTAGAGGTAGTGAATACATTTTAAAACGAAATTTTAATTATTATTATTCGAACAGACAGCTGAGACTTTCTAAGATGGTAACCTATTGTCGATGAGGAAAATGATAGTCTCAGACACATGGCCACCGTACACCGTGTAATTGTAATGTAAAAAAAAAAAAAAAAAAAAGTAAAAAGATGAGAAGTGAAAGTTTCTACTGGTGATTGTCTTATACAGGTGGCCGTTAGAATAGGATAGACTGTATAGCAGCTAAATCAGATATGTAATTCGTTATCAAAGTACGAAAGAATTTCTAGCAAAGTGTAATAAGACCCAGTGCATTAACGCAAGTAACCAAAGTTCGAACCTCTTTCCGATCGTAGGTCGTATAAAGTGTGTCATGACTAGATTCCTTTCTCTACCTGTGTTGTAATTAGAACTATGAAAAGAACAGATAGTGTAACTTACTCATAATCATCATCATCCTCATTTCCCACCTCCTCTTCCTCCTCCTCGTCCTCCTCGTCATCCTCCTCCTCCTCCTCCTCCTCCTCCTCCTCCTCCTCCTCCTCCTCCTCCTCCTCCTCCTCCTCCTCATACTACTACTACTACTACTACTACTACTACTACTACTACTACTACTACTACTACTACTACTACTACTACTACTACTACTACTACTACTACTCATCTTCATTTGCATACACCTCCTCTTCCTCCTCCCCTCTTTTCCCATCATCCTCCTCCTCCTCCTACTCCTCCTCCTTCTCCTCCTCCTCCTCCTCCTCCTCCT